CTTTAGCATTATCACACTCTACTTTTCTCAGTAATGTTTTTGATTGTGACTGATCATTACTATCATCAATCTTTGGGATACAGGAGAGTATTGAAGATAACAGTCGAAAGAGGAAAAGAGAAGAGAACCTTAGTGCTACTGCTAATGTGGAGGAGGAAACCGGAGCAAATGATACAACAACAATGGTTTTGCCTTTTGAGAAGAAGTTGCCGATTTGGAAAAAATTTGAATCAATGGAAGCATTCAAAACATTCCCACAAAGACCACATTTCAGACCATTGATGGAGACTCAAGAAGATTACCGTGAAATGACTGCGGTTGGTATGATGTGTAACTATGCTGCGTCACTAGAACAAGTCAAAAGTCTGCAACTTCTCACTCCAATAAGCACATTGGAAGGCCTCAAAGATTCCTTTGCCTTCCTCGAGAAGAACGGGTTTGATGTAGAAGAGCCTCAGTCTCGGATCCAAAAGCTCTTGTCTCTCAAAGATTGGCAAGCAAAGAAAATGGAGGAACTCAAGGGTGTTGAGAAAGAGATTGCAGAGAAAGAGAGCGAAAATGATGAGATTGAACAGAAGATTCTAGAGCTGCAAAGGATGAAAGAGGAGGCGAACAAAGAGATAGATCAGATGAAGTCACGCAAAGCAACGATTGAACAAGAACTTGAAGATGTGGAGCTTCAGTTTTAGTTAATAAGTTAAAGAAGGGAAAATACATGTTTGAGCTCAAAGTTAAGCTTCTTTGTTTTGAAAAAATGAAAACTTTAGATTAGATGCAGTTGAAAAGACTTTTTTCTTGGCTCTGATGTACTTTGATGAATGCTGTTTAGTACTATTAACTAATGTAACTTGAAAAATCTTGAACAAACTACTTTGGTGTTTTCATTGGTGATTTCAAGTCTTCCACTGTGAAGACCGGTCTAAAACTCATTTACAGAACAAATCATCATGTAGAAGATTGAAGCAAATGAATTTAAACCGAGCAAAAGAGATGGAGAAAAATCAGAAAGCGGATCGCCATGTGCATGTAAACCAACGTGAAGGTTAAGATCCTATGCCTTAAGGAGAAATGGGAAATGTGAAAGACTACAATATTACAGTGGCAAATTGCTACTAGCGACCAAAGACAAGGAGTAGATAATTAACATAAAGAAACTGTCACCAATATATAAATAGAGACAAAGGATCATGAAACATTCAAACTAACCACAACTAAAGAACAAAGGGGATGACAAGGAGACCATCATCATCTTGTGGTGTCTAGTGTCTAGTGATTATTACAGAAACATGAGACTCTCACCCTGACTAGAGAAGATAGGGATTACCGAACAAAAATTTCGTTTCTTGCAACGTAGCAGCTTAAGGTTATGCTCTGTGATTCCTCCTATCTCAACCTTTCTCACCCTATTTCTTTCTGGATCACAATAGAGAACATAATATATTGGACGAGGAACACACAGAATTGTCGGTGCCAGAATAAGCTCACCCGCGTCGGTGACAGAAACAAAACGATGAAACGTATGTAATGATGTTCTCTTGCCCCGAGCTAATCTTCTCCAGGAGTTAGGCAAAACAAAAACCTTCTTAGACCATTCATGTTTCACTGCATCCTCTAGAACCCACATAGCAATACTACCATCAGCAGGAACTTCCCTGGACACGATAGCTAGCTTCCCCTCGTACCTAAACAGGGTTGAACCCTGAACCACAGAATCGCTAGGTCTCTCAATAAGATCAAATTTTTCAGACCTAACATCAAAACTCATGTACGCAACTTCCTTGCACTCTGCGCCAGCACGAGCTACATAATAGACAACACCATTGACACATATCTGGCTACTGTAAGGAAAGTGAGTGTGACTCACTTCAATCATCTTCCATGAAGTCTCACTTCCCAATGTCAAAACCTGTGCAACAAGCTTTGATTGTGCCATCTCCAACTGAATCTTTGATGCGGTCATTGGTCCGGTGATACACAACACTTTGAAAACATGATCGATAGGATCATAGCCTAAGTAGTGTTGAATGAGAAAATTTCCGGGTTCGAATTTGGGCAATGTGATGGATCTTCTGGTGCTGGAGTTGTACACGGCAAGCCCAGAGCCACAAGCAGTTTCATAGCAGATCAAACCATGAACAGAGGTTAAATTCGTTGTCCGCTTATACGCAGGATTCGGCATATGGTAAGTAGCTACAGAGGCTTCACCTGGATCCTGTGTTTGAAGCGACGACAAAAGGAAGTTACCTTCGCTGTACGGGAAGTAGAAGAGGAGACTACCAGGTCGATTCGAAGACTCGGCGACGACGGCGAGGAACAATTTCTTGAAATTTGGGCTGCGGATGATTGATGCCCAGAGCTTCGACAAACAGAGGAACCTCGCTAGGGTTTTGACCGGTAATCGTTTGAATACTTCAATGATGGTGTCAATCGGAAGCACCACTGAGCTTGCTCTCCGGTCATCTGAAATCTTCTTCCTTCGCCGTGTAACCCTAAGTGACGCCGGTGGTGATGTTGAATCCACGATTGCGTCGCTGGTCTCGACTCTGTCAGTGTCGGAGATTGCTCTGCTTCCATTGAGTTTCGAAGAGGATCGAGTATTGTAGTGAAATGTTCTTATGGTGTCATTTGCGAGCTTCGCTCCGTCTCTTTTCATGGCGGAGAAAAAAACAGAAAGTGTCGATTTTTTTGTCTCGCAATAAAAAAAGTTTCAAACTTTGCTACAGTGAGAGAGAACAGAAGAAGACCTTTTTGTCGCGTTTGCGTTTGATAAACAATTTAGCGTTCTCAAACGCTTCAGAATCTACTTAACCGGTGAAACGTTAAACATGCTGCCGTTTTACGAATAAATCAAAGTCATCAAATCTACACAGAAACGAACTGTCTGCGTAATTTATAACTGGAAAAACAAAATCAATAAGCACAAAATTCAAAACTCTAAATACCTGAACATTAAAAACCTGCACAGCAACAGGGATCTTTACGAAATGTTCATGTAGTCTCTACGTTCATGTTCAAGTAGTAAATTCAAAAACTTGCACCACATGGCAACCAAAAACAATATAAAAAAAAAACACACCAAACAAGTAGTCCCCAAGTGATCATTAAACCTTCCAAGTAATTAGATGAACAAAGATGAAGATGGTCCGCCAGCACTATCAGATAAACATGAGATTCTCAACCTGATCAGGGAAGATAAAGATTGTACGAGTTTGATGACGAGGGTAGGGACCAATTTGCCAAAACTTGGTGATTCCTTCAATGCCGACTCTTCTCATGCTCTTTTTCTCGGGATCATAATACAAAACATAAAATGGTGGTGCCTCCAAATTTCTTGGTGCCAAAACAAACTCGCCCGTCTCATCAATGGCACAAAACACCTGGAACGAGTTTCTAAAGCCAGCTAAACTAGGCAAACCGAAACACTTATACGACCATTCATGTTTTGCAGCATCTTCTAAAACACACAAATGGACTGAACCAGGGTAATTACTAAGCAAACCAAACCCAGTGAACATGATAGCAAGCTTTCCATTGTATTTTGTCATATTTGTATAATTTTTTTTCTGGTGGTACTTTAATAAGATCAAATTTTTCAGACCGAACATCAAAACAAATGATCACATGTTCTTTAGAACCGTTCTGCCTTCTTGTGCATGCTCCATAGTATAAAACCCCTTCTATACATATCTGAGGAATTGTAGGCGAGTGAGGAGGAGGACAATCCACAATCATCCTCCATTGATTCCCTTCTCCAATTGTCAAAACCTGAACATCTTGAGCTAAACCATTTGTTCCTGTCGTCATACACAATATCTTGTAATCACCCTCAATGGGATCATAACCCAAGTAATGGTTGTCTAACCATGGCCTCTCAGCATGGAACTCGGGCAAGGTAATGGATCGTCTCGTACTAGGGTTGTATATCTTGAGACTAGAGAAAGTTCTATGGCAAATCAAACCGTGAACAGATGGAGACATGATTGTGAACTTATCTCTAGGATAAGGAAGTGTCATGTGGTAAGTAGCTACAGAGGCTTTACCTGGTTTTTGGGTTTGAAGCGACGAATAAAAGCAGCAAGCTTTGCCGCGCCTGATGTTGAAGAAGAGACGACCTGGTCGTTTCAAAGACTCGGCGAGGAACAGTTTCTTGAAATATCGGCTGCGAATGAGGGATGATGCCCAAAGCTTCGACACGCAGAGAAACCTTGCTAGGGTTTTGAGCGGTAATCTTTTGAATATCTCCATGATGAGATCAGTCGGAAGGAGATCTGTCTGTGTCAGAGATTCCTCTGCTTTCATGTTCAAGCTTCGCTCTCTTTACCCTTTTCATGGCCGTCGTAGGGAAAAACAAAAGCTGCAATTTTTGTGGTCTCACAATAGAAAAGTGGCAGAAAGTTTTTGTTTTTGGATACTTACCAATTTTTATGAAGTTTAAAAGGAATTTAAGATCTAGAATGATTTTCAGAAAAATTTGCAGAATTATTTTTCCTTTTCTAAAACAAATTTTATTTTGGCGCCAGAATATGGTTTGCGTTTTGATAAAAACAATTCCGCGTTCTCAATATTTTAGAAGATGAAACGTGATGCCCAAGTTAAAAATAGTGAGACTACACAAGCATTATGAACATATTATAAACTGTCACCAATAAAGAGAAAGATCATGAAACCTGTAGCTATAGAAATATGAGATTAACTAACAACTTGCAGAGACGAGATTGTTATAAATCAAATCATAATGTAAAACGTTCGTAATAGTACATTACACAAATTGCTCGATAGTAACTTTCTAGTAGCTTCATCACCTAGTCACCTACCATACTTTTCACTAGGACAAAAAATTGGAAAAAGGTAGTAACAGTAACCTTCTGCTAATTTTTGTTTTTTAATCTTTAGATATTCTCACCTACAATAGTCCTCAAATTAAGGAAGATAAAAGCAGTAATGCACATATTACAAATAATGGAAATACATGAACTTAAAAAAACGTTCTACGAGCACTCTTAGAGGAACATGAGATTCTCAACCTGACTAGGGAAGATAGATATTGTACGACGATCCAAATCATTATCCCAATACTCAAGCTTTGTTTCTGTGATCCCTTCAATATCGACTCTTCTCAAGCTATTTTTCTTGGGATCATAATACAAAACATAAAACGGTGGTGCGCCCAAAGTTTCTGGCGCCACAATAAACTCTCCTGCATCATCATCATCAGTGGCACAATACACTTGAAACATGGTTTTCAAGCAAGCTAAACGAGGCAAAGAAAAAATCGTATTAGACCATTCATGTTTAGCAGCATCCTCTAAAACCCACAATTCGATCCTACCAATGTAACTACGAAACTTATCAGAGTACATGAGAGCAAGCTTCCCATTGTATCTTGTCATCTTTGTGAACTTTGTTGCTCTCTCTGGTGGTATCTTGATAAGCTCAAATTTTTCAGACCGAACATCAAAACTCATGACTGCATGGTCTTTACGAAGGATACGCGTACCAGTGTCAAAATAAGCTCCATAGTATAAAACACCATCTATACATATATGAGGAGATTCAGGAGAGTGAGGAGGAGGACAATCTTCAATCATCCTCCATTGATTACCGTTTCCAATTGTCAAAACTTGAATCTTGTGAGCTAAACCACGTCCTCTACGAACATGCATTCCTCTACTCATACACAACATCTTGTAATCACCATCGATGGGATCATAACCTAAGTAGTGGTACATACGTGTCCTCTGAGAATCGATCTTGAGCAAAGAAATGGATCGTCTCGTGCTAGGGTTGTATACCATGAGCTTAGAAGGAGTTCCATAGCAAATCAAACCGTGGACAGATGGAGAAATGGCTGTGTATGGTTGAGAATGGCATTTCATATGGTAACTTGCTACAGAAGATAACGGTTCATCTCCATTTGAGGGTTGACTCGATGAGAAGAAGAAGTGTTTTCCGTAACGTTTGCTCTTGAATGTGAAGATGAGATCTTGTGGACGAGTCGATGACTTGATCAAGTAAGATTTCACGAAATCACGGTTGCGGATGATTGATGCATATTGTTTGGATACGCAGAGGAACCTCGCTAGGGCTTTAACAGGCAATCCTATAATTATCTCTGGTATGAGATCAAGCGGAATTGAATTTGATTTTCCTCTGCTTGTTGTTACATCATCGGAGATCTTCTTCGTCTTCTGTCTTTCCATGGTGATGGAGAGACGAAATGGTGTTTCCTTTTTCAAGAAATGAAGAAAATGTCGTCGTGTTTGCGCTGTTCATTCTCAAGTCACATCAAATTGGTTCATCTATGTATTAAAATAAGTAAAACGTGGTGACAACTAAGACCTATGTGAATGTGAAGCAATAATTGGGAAATGTAACAGATTACAAATTAAGAAAGAAAATTTAAAGTAGCAGCAAAAGATATAACGAGAAATCGGAATTTTGTTAGTTTTCAGTTTCATTATTCTAAGAAATGAGAAAATTACAATTTCATTAATAAATTTGCTATACCTTATATTTTCTGATTATTCAAAGCAAGTCCACACAGTGGACAAAGGCAAAAGCATGTGAGAAACGGAGAGTGTCACAATCTACAATGAAAACGGAAACATCGACCACCAACTTTTAATAGTGCTTTAAACCTATTGTTGGAATCGATTGCTACCAACCTCTTTCAATGTTTTTTTAAAAATGGATTATGTAATCACTAATCAGAAGCACAAAAATAAACATATGTTGGAATATTTTTGGCTAGACTATAACTAATAATATGTGTAATATTATCCATTTTGACCCTCACATTTGAGACATAAATTAATCAAGTGTGTATAAACAAATGTGATCTTCTTCTAAATAAATTCATTTTTGAATATCTAATAAAATAATCAAAAAATTTGAATAATAATATGTAAAATCCTGTAGCATCTCTCATAATATCACATTTCATAACCTATGATTTTTTTCCCTTTATCTTATGGATTTTATTAGCTTTTTTTTTGTGTGGAACAGTCAACATTTTGTTATGGATTTTGGGTTTAATGTAAAATCTGTAGAAAGTAATTAAGAAATGTTTAATGGTCAAGCCAACTAATGAGACGCTTAAAGGCCATTTTACCTGTTTCGGCTTCACCAACCCCCTACTATATGTTCTGCATAAACCTATAAACAAACTATTCGTCCACCGATGAATTATTCACTTATATTTAAATAAACAAAAACCTTAAATCTGATAGATTACAGATTATAGCGAAGTCTCCTCTCTGCCGGCGGTGGAAAACTTCAGGTGAAACCCTTTTGTCTCCGTAATTCTCTGTATCATTTCTTCTTTCTTCTCGATTTTGCTGGTTGTAATTTTGAGTTTCTGTGGGCTAATTTCATTATGTTTTTGTTTCAGGAAAGTGTCATTTTTATAAAAAAATCCTCTCTTTTCGTTACTCAATTTCATTTGGATAATCATTGTTTTTCCCGGAAAGTTCGTTTTTTTCTGGTTGGGAGCTTGGTAATCATTCTTTTTGTTCCTCCATTGACTTCGCCATAGATTTTTCGATTATTATTATTTTTTTTTTTGCTATATACTCTGATTTTCAAAAAAAGTATCATCATTTGATCGAAGCTGAAAATTCTTGCTGAGTGTGTAAATTTTGAATTTTGAATTTTTTTTTTGTCTGATCTTTGAATTAAAAAGTCTCCTGTTTTGATTTCGTTTCTCTCGGGCTTGATGTGGGACATAGTGTTTTCCGTCGATGTAGACAAGAATCTTGATAGGGTTTTGTAATTATCTTTAATTATGGCCAAATTATCCTCTTTTAATGAAATTTGATTTCAGTAATATGGAAGAAATGGTCACTCACAGTTGAAATTGCTTTTGCAGGATTTTTGAATTTTTAGTCTTCATATGGAAGCAGCTATTGCTCAGAGGGTTCACTACCCATCATGGGTTGATTGTAGAAAGTTCGAGAGGAAGCCGCACGGTTCGTTGCGGTATTCTCAGAGAATTAAGGAAGAGAAAAGGTTCAGAGGTGTTGCTTTGGCTCATTTGCAACCTGAAAGAAGAAATGATCGACGTGGATCAGTTTCTTCAGAGGTTTCATGTTCTGATAACAACTCTGCAGGTTGTTATTAAAGCATTTTGGATGCTTTAAGAGTCTATAAGTCCACGAAGGAAAATCTGATTCAATCTTTGATTCGTTTTGTAGCATTGTTGCAAGCAGGAAGTGTTCATCCATTTGATGAAGATCTAATTCTGAAGGCAAGTGTCATAGTCATATAGATTTGTTTGTGGTTTTCTTGGTTCGTCTATGAATCTTACTTGAAAATTGATTCACATGAGGTTTGCAGAGTAAAGCAGAAGAGGTTAAACCGTATCTGTATGGACGATCAATATACCTTGTTGGTCAGTTTCTCTGTTTGCTCGTTTGTTTGCATATGGTTAGCTCTAAAGACGACCTTGTAGTTTGATGATTTCGCTGTGTAAAAAAAACAGGAATGATGGGTTCCGGGAAAACAACGGTGGGGAAGTTAATGTCTAAAGTGCTCGGATATTCGTTCTTGGACTGGTATGTATATGCTTCTTCCAAAACTCAATGGATGTCTCCTTCAGGAGTTGTTCACTGATTTGGAGTGAGTTATGATGAATGTGGTTTGATATTCTGGTTGTGTAACCTTGTATAAGTTTTGTGGATGTGTCAGCGACACTTTGATTGAGCAGGCGATGGATGGAACTTCTGTGGCAGAGATATTTGTGCATCACGGTGAAAGTTTCTTTAGAGGAAAGGAGGTTAGTTTTGTGATCCTTGTGACTGGTTCTTGCTTAGTGCATTTTACTGTACGTATTCTGATATAAATATCTTTCTTTCTTTTAGACCGATGCTCTAAAGAATCTCTCGTTGATGTATCAAGTTGTTGTTTCCACCGGTGGTGGTGCAGTTATAAGACCCATTAACTGGTGTGTTCTCGTTCTCTCTCTTCTTCCCTTCCGAAGTATAACATATGAAACTCATTTGGTAATGTCATTATATTGTTAGGAAGTATATGCATAAAGGAATCAGCATTTGGCTAGATGTGCCTCTAGAAGCCTTAGCTCATAGAATCGCTGCTGTTGGAACTAATTCAAGACCATTGCTACACGATGATTCAGGAGATGCATACACTGTGGTACTCATCTAACAATAGTTACAATCATCAGACTTACAAAGAGTTTTATCTTATTTTTTCCGGGTTTGTGATGATGAAAGAAATACATGCAGGCTTTCAAGCGTCTTTCGAGTATTTGGGATGAGCGTGGTGAAGCATACACGAACGCCAATGCCAGAGTCTCCTTAGAAAGTATGTCTTCTTCATCCATCTCCTATAGCCTTTGCTCAATCTTGTGTGATTTTTCTTATCTCAGAGAGCCTTTTTTCTCTCCAATTGACAGATATTGCAGCTAAGCGTGGCTATAAAGATGTATCAGATCTCACACCAACTGAAATCGCCATTGAGGTAAGTCATCTCCTCTCTCTGTCTCTTCATCGTTAATCTGTTCAATCAAACTCACACAAAGCAAATGATTCATCACCAGGCTTTTGAGCAAGTTCAGAGCTTTCTAGAAAAAGAAGAAACTATGGAGATCCCCGACGGCGACCTCTAGTTTCCTGTTCTCTCAACTCAACGAAAGTTGAGAGCTTTCTAGACAAAGCAATCTTAGTTGCTTGGGTCATCGGAGCTTACACGACTCTAATTTTTGTTTTGTTGAAAAACCACAAACTTGTTTGAAGAAGATGTTATACATGTATATACATATAACTTAATAATACTCTCTTTTTTTTTTTTGCTTTTCAGTATCAATCTCTTTTTTTTCCTTGAAATCAAAATGAAATGAGAGCAAGGAGCAAGACAAGTGTAACGAGAAAATGTATTATTCAAATCTGAAATTAACTTTTCACATGGAAACACAACAAAAGAGATGGGGAAGAACATTCCAAAGTACAGAAGCAAATCTATAAACTTTATTACACTTTCAAGTTGTTTAATCTTGGCTCCGAGCCTCAGGCCAAGCTATATACTCTTTGTCCGTCCCAAATTACTATGCTCATCACAGTATTGGTTACTCACAGAACAAAACACAGCAGACACAATCATGATGAATCAGAAGAAGCAGACCTGTGTGGTATGGAGCATGATGCTGCTGATTTAGAGAGTTTAAACAAACATGTATGTATTATCATCAAACTGTAGCTGCCAAGCAATTCACAATGGCGGATTCATTAGGAACAGTAAACACAGTACCAGACCAATCAATCTTCCCCCAAATCTCTCCTTCTCCACGTCTCTCAACATCAATCTCCGCACACCAAATCTCCATCCTCCTAGAACCTCCACTCCCAGCTTTCCCTTCCCACAAAACCGCAAGCTTCCCGCCACGATTCGCCATCGTAGCACCACAAAGAAACTTCGGAAGCGACTCAACACCTCTAACCTCTCTCCAAATCCTCTCCTTTGGATCATACCCTCTTATCTTCCCCAAGTAATCATAACAATACAGTATGCTCTCAATCACACAAGCTCTTCCTCTCCATCCCAAATCAAGCCTCTTCTCTGGCATACTCCATTTCCTCTCTTTCGGCTCGTAAACGACGCCGTTTCGATCAGCCATGGCGTAGACTTTCCCTTCCATGACCGCACTTGCGTGCATCCATTTCTCACGCACCTCCATGCCTGGGCTCGCCACTGGCTCCCAAGTTTGCGCCTTTATGTCAAACATCTCTGCCCAGTTTATCGATCGAGCCCAATTATCAACCACACATCCTCCGATCACGTAAATCTTCCCGTCGATCACGCCGGCCGCTGCGAATTCGCGACCGACTCTCATGTTCGAGACTCGTCGCCAAGTGTGAAACTTGCAATCGAGAACCCACACGCTCGAAGACGGCACGTCTCTGATAGATCCGCCGATTACGTAAATCTCCGAACCCACCACGACGTAAGCGGATCCGACGAGCGACGGCGAAGGGCAAGATGGGATTTGAACAAGCATACGCGGCGAGTTCGTTGAGGTTCGATTTGGTTTGCGGAGGAGAGTGAACCAGCACGCACCGGATTCAGGAGGTAGACGGATTGCGACGTAGAGGATGTTTTCAGTTGCTCCGACGAGAGATCTCGTGGCGTAGAGCAGAGGCGATTTGGGGAGAGATTGGAAAGTCTTGGAGACTAGAGAGAGAATTGGATGGTGGCATCTAGAGACGCGGGCAAGACAATTCAGAGCAACGTCGTCTGATAGTGATGGAATCAATTGCGCCGGCGTTTGAGTTTCCGGTGGCTCTTCGCCGGAGCTCGTTGTAGCCGCCATGGATCTCTGATTTGATCAGTGACTCCAACAAAATTTCATTTTTAATTGTTGTCAACACAGAGAGACAACATTTGAACATTACATTACTTTTGTCGGTTCGATTTGATTTAAGCCGTTAAGTTAATTTTAAAGTTAAACCGGAGCTTAACCGATTTACCGCCGTTATCTGTATATGCTGACGTGGCGGGAAGTATGATTCAGTGGTGTGAAGGACGCCACGAGCTTCGTCGCCTTCCGTTCGTCCGACGTTTCAAGTTTTGTAAAGAAGATGAAGAAGACGAACGCAATATCTGATTCTGGGTTAAAATTCTGTTTATACAAAAGAAATTTTTTGTAGTAATCATGATCGCATTAGCTGTTTCATCGTCTGGTAATATTCCGATTGCTTCATTTCACCGGAATTTTAGATCCAGCAAAGCTCCATGGAGCTTCAGATTACATTCACGAAACCTTAAGACTAAGATAGCAGTTTCACCTTCGTCTTCTTCTTCTTCTACTGCTTCCTCTGAGTTTGATTTGAGTGCTCTCGAATCCGCCATTGACAAGGTCCTTGCTTGATTCACTTCTGATTGTACATGAAGCTTTCGTTTTTATTCGATGAAATCTGCTTAAAAGCGTAAATTTTGAAAATGGGTGAAAGCAGAAAGATAGTAATGGAGTTAAGGAAGCTCTGGATCGGTTGAGTGAACAAGGTTGGGCTAAGAAATGGAGCTCCCAGCCTTACCTTTCGCGCCGTACGGTGTATATCGATCTCTCTGTCTAATCTTAACAATGCTTAAGTTCTCGTTTGTCTTTGTTTGTTCTCATGTTCAATCTAAGAATCAATGAGTGAATGAGTGTTTTTTTTTGTATCAGACATCGCTCCGGGAGCTAACAACTCTCGGAATCAAGAACGCAGAGACTCTCGCCATCCCTAGTGTCAGGAACGATGTAAGTTATGTCTTTTTTCACTCAAAAAGACTTCGTTTGAGGTTACAGTGTGTGTTAATGGAGCTTGTTCTGATGCAGGCGGCTTTTCTTTTCACAGTAGTCGGAACAACCGGGTTCATAGCTGTAATTGCCGGCCAACTTCCCGGAGTAAACCTTCAAAAACTCATTTCTTAAACGTTTTGAATCGATTGTGTTAGGTTTCTATGTTTGTGTCTCAGACCAAGTGTTGAATCTGGACAGGATTGGGGATTCTTTGTGCCTTACTTAGTTGGGAGCATTTCATTGGTAGTTTTAGCTGTGGGAAGCGTTTCACCAGGGTAAAGAGACAATAACTAAAACACTCTGTTTTGCTCTGTTTCATTAACTCTATTATTGATGTTTATCTTCTGCTCTTTTGTTTTGTAGGTTACTTCAAGCTGCTATATCTAGCTTTTCGACATTCTTCCCTGATTATCAAGAACGTATTGCCGGACATGAAGCAGCTCACTTCTTAGGTTTTACCTTTTTAAAAAAAGTTTTAAATCCATTTTGGTTTATGCAATGTTGCTGATTGTGTTATTTTGGAACCTACATCTCCTCCTCCAGTGGCTTATCTAATCGGACTTCCAATCTTCGGGTACTCGTTAGACATCGGTAAAGAACACGTCAATCTCATTGATGAGAGACTAGCTAAACTTATATACAGCGGCCAGCTTGACTCCAAGGAGCTTGATAGGTTAGAGCTTCTTCTTCAATGTCAATAAGAGAAAGAAGAATCAAAACCTCTCAATACATTGAATCTTCTTCTGTTTCTCAGGTTAGCTGCTGTTGCAATGGCTGGACTTGCCGCCGAGGGTCTCAAGTACGACAAAGTCATCGGCCAATCTGCGGATTTGTTCTCTCTTCAGGTCTTCTAGTTACTTCCTATCTCATCACACTCACAAAGTTCACAAACATTAAGTTATTACAGCTTTTGTCTGTGTTTCTTGTTTGCCGCAGAGATTCATAAACAGAAGCCAACCCAAAATTAGCAATGACCAGCAGCAAAATCTAACCAGATGGGCTGTGAGTTTCTCTTACAAAACCAGACTTCAATCTCTTCTAAATGTTTCTTCCTAATGAATTTTTGGTTTGGTTATGCAGGTTCTGTACTCTGCTTCGCTTCTGAAGAACAACAAGACCATACATGAAGCTCTAATGGCTGCAATGTCCAACAAAGCAGGTGTTCTTGAATGCATCAAGACCATTGAGACAGCTTCCTAGGCTCATACCATAAACAATTTCCATTGTCTCTTTTGATCGATCAAACTCCTAAGAACAATGTAAATTGATTCACAAAGAAACTACATATCTTTCTTTATATATAGACGTAAAAGTTACAGACTTTCAATATCATCTTCAAGCAAACCATGAAGAAACGATTATTGAAACATCAAAACTACTATTGTAGACGAAAAGTGTACAGTGATTATACATTTCTAGTGGTATTTAACATTTTTAAATTTCGTCGGACCAATCACTAGGCTCGGTGTCGTAGAACAACCCATCGACGATCTGGTCAACCAACGAGTCAATGAACGAGTTGCAACTCACTGTGAAGATCTTTCCGACTCGGTTCCGAGATATCGTTAACCAGGCGAATACGGCGGCGAATCCCATCGCTCCAAGACCTGCTCCAATGGCTTCGCTCAATCCTTCAACGTCTAGTTTCTTGAACAACGAGTTCCCCGTAACAACCTCCTCCGCCACCGTCGCCGCGAACACAATCTGAAAATTACGAAATTTCCTCAGATTTTGAGGAATTCATCGAGATCGGAGTTTTTTTTTTAATTTACCATAGCGAGTCGACCGGAGATGGTTTCAAAGTCCTGACTTTTCTTCGAGCTCTCAATGTAATCAGTGAGCGTTTCGAAAAACGGCGACGCTAACTCCGGCTCAGATCCTCCTCCTCCTCCTCCACCATCTCCGCCGTCTTTTCTAGCGACGACCATCTCCGATCCATAAGATCTCAGCGTGCAAAGCCTCGGCTGGAGCACGATCTTACCGTTCTCGGCCAAATCGCCGCCTCTCGGTCGCTGCTGGATCTGGATCTGCTTAGTCGGTTCCGAAGATTCGCATCTGGGAACCGTCGATCTCGGAAACGGTAACTGGTATCGAATCGCACGCGTAGCCATAGCCATTTTCCGATGGATAATACGAGGAATCTTAGCAAGAAAAAGTGTATGAGTGAAAAGAAAGGAATCTTCATGGTGACTTAAGTGTACACGTCGTGTCGTTTTTTGTGAGGTGGCAAAGATATTGTTCGACGTGGCTTACTTTGGGCTCAGTAACGTACTTTTCACTCGAATGTTACAGATTGGTTCACTAACGTTCATTTTCAATATCATCTTAAGATGTAATTATATGATTTTGGGTAGTTTTATAGTTTATGTTAAGATGTCAAATAATTAAAAAAAAAAGATTGCAATATTTTGTTCAACTGATTATTTTATTAAATTATGTTTGATGATAGGAGTGTGGTTAAAAGATTACAATTAATTTCTGCAGTGCCAAACGCAGAAGCAGGTTTTGCTTTGTGCAAGACAAGTGCCTGATCCTTGCCAGTTCAACTTACACTGAGCATCACACTCTGAAGGTATACAAGGTACTTGTCCTGTGATATATTCATGACAGTCAATGTCCCTATATATCATTTCATTTTTTTTTTGGTTATAAAAAAGCACCATCAAATAAAAAGAAGAAACATAAGAGTATATTGTAAGTGTAAATCAGACCTAGAACGAGAACGGCCATGAAAATAGCAAGAACGGTGGCTTTAACCATTTTTGATGATAAATCTGTAGAGTTAATGAAAAGTTTAGTTCTATTGGATGTAGTTGTTTTGCAGTCGTTACTAATGAATATCACTCACATATATATAAGAGATTAGATGCATAGAGAAAGTATCATGAACCATAAGAAAATTGATTGAACAGATTCCTGATCAATTGATTTTAAATAAGAAATCCATATATGTGGTATGAAAATCTAGATTGTTGACTAAGTAAGATAGTCTAAGTAGGATCGATTGTTATCATAAGGTGTGATTTGATTTGAAATGGACATGTATATAAATATTATATGAAATCAATATATTCAACCATACAATCTAACAAAGTTTGAATAAAAATATTTGTTGTTATTCATGCCACAAGTAAAATGGAACCAATGCATTTGAAAATCAATTTATGTATTCAACCACCGAGTTTGATAGAATGGAATCAGAACATTTCGTATAAGAAATGCATACTTTTAGCTCACGACAAGGCTACTATATGTGTTCAATAGCGTTTCTATAAACGCATAGATCATAACGTCGTTGATAAAACAAAGTGGAAATGTTTTATCATAAGCTATAACTAAATACCACTCGATATATATGTAAACCTAACATAAATTGGCAAGTAACCTGAAATGTTTTCTTATAAATCATCCTAAAAAGTACATGACCTCCAAATCCATTCACATATTTCTCACCACCAAAACGACCCACATATACACAAATACCATCATCATGATGATGATCATATATCCACACTACATCAATCACCAATCCACAAACCAGAGATGCATCTCCATGGAACCATATTACAACAAATCATACTCTTACGAAGAAGATACTAAGTTCGGGTCCATTATTCCCTTCGGGACTCAACATGTAAAAAGTCTCTGAATCTTTAGACCCAACGACTCGTTCGAAGTAAGCCCTCATGTAAGCCATCTCCGAGTCAGGTCCTTCAACCTCCGAGTTTCCAGGCAAAACACCTGCACCCATCGAAACCGGTCTCAACAACTCCATCACGTTAAGATCTTCCTCCGTCGCGTCACGTTTCACACCGTACCCCGTTTTCTTGCCGTTACAATACATTGTCCATAACGGCTCGTCCATGATCTTGGTCTTCTCTTTATCACCTGGCTTCTCCGTCTCCAGAGCGATCCTTACCATTCCTCCGCTTAGCTCTTTTTGTAGCACCATTGTTTGCATCGCTAGCTCGACGACGAGAGATGGTAAACATCTAGAGTTTTCTTGAATTGAGAGGCTTACGCGGCCTTTACGGTATCCGAACAAGGTTCCCGTGACTCTAGACCCGCTTGACCCGCCTCTATGCGGGTCAGGTAAGCTACCGCCCGGGAGGACGGGGATCTTGCAAGCCGCCGGTGTGATGATCGGAAAAGAACGGAAAACGGAGCGGAAGACTCGGAAGACTTTCTTCCCCTTTTTCTTGTTTTGATGAGATGGTTCGAGTAACGTGTTGTGCTGACGTTGTGGTGCCGGAGACGGTGATGGTGTTGGAGACGCCGAAGGGGTTGAAAATGAGTCGGTGGAGGAAGAGGCACCGCTTAGCCTTGGCCGTGACTCCCTCATTAACGACCGAGACGTAAATGAGGATACGACGGCGTTCTCTACTGAATATGTCTCGTCTTTCTATTTTTGAATAAGATTAATTCACACTGTTTTCTCACCTTTGAGTTTTAGGACTTTTGTTTGGTTTTCTAATTTTGTTTTTGTTAGAAATTGGAATGGTTTAGAAAAAAATTCTAAATTTTTGTGTGCACATTGGTTATAGTTTATATATAGTTGTTGTTTTATTATGAAGTCTAATCAGCCAGCTCTGAGCTCTATTTTTAAGAGTAGAAAACAAAGCTGTTAATTTCAAAACATGTGAAAGCAAATCAACCGATAGTTACCAAAAATAGTGCAATATGTCAAAATATGAAGTCGTAGTCGTTTGTATAGGTCAACGTACTAGTGTCATCGGCTGTAAATCTCTATTAAAGAGATCTATGTCCAACTTGATGCGTGCCAAATTGATCTCTTGTCTTATCAAACAAAAACATACTAATGGATGTATTCACTAGTTTGTTGATGGTTTACTAATTTCTATGTAGATCAAAAGTTCCGTGAGTTACTTATTGACTGCTGTTCCACATATGCTTAAACTTTTAAACAGTTCAAAACAAACAATTCAATTTGTCGCCTTTTTTTCCAAGTTTTCATCATTTCTTGTAGTCAAAGCAACCTACGATACGATATATTTGGTCCGGACTAAGTAACTTCAGATATATAAACCAACAAGCTTGGCCCATCAAGAGCCCCTAGTGATCTTGAGAAAATATCATACAAGCAATAGTAAACTTTTTATTCTTACGTACCAATATATGTATGACTTTGCATGTTTGCGTGTGAATGTGAACAAGTTCCAAGGTTAAATAAAATTTATGAATCTCGCGACAAAGATAAAGAAACATTATTAATGTTACATACATGACATGATACAAGCAATGACCATAAAGCTCCATACCTTATCATTTGTCCTAGATGATAAAATATCTCTCTTCGTTTAGGAGAAAAAGTTCGATATTATTTTTCTCATTAGTTTTCTGCTCAACTGGTTTTCACACCGTACTTAAATAGTTAAACTATACAATTTCGATTATCTTAATTCTTACAATTCATTCTAGAATATGGTATCAACATTCCTAACACTGCATCATTATTTGAGTTAAACTACACTAATATCAATGTGTTTGGTTCGGGAAAGAATAAAAGACAAGTGAGTAGAGACGAGACGGAAAATAGTTTCTTAAAACAAGTCACAGTAATTTAAGAGTATAGTTTGTAACGTTGAAGTCTCTATCTTCAGATAAAACAGACTATAACAAGACGTTGATCAATAATTAAATATACCAAAAAATACAATTCAACAAAGAACAAAAAATAATCATTATTATTCTTAGGCCGTAACAAAAGAAGACAAAACAAAAGGCTGAGAGAATAATAAATACGAACATTTATTTGTGTTTTCGTAAGAGTGGAAGTCTCTATTTGCAAATGGAAACTTGGTCCAAAGAGGTAAAGAGGACGACAAAAATAAAGATCCATAAGGAAAATCATCAACAGTAAGAAACAAAGCTCTCTCAGTTTGCCATCAATCTAATTTCAGATCAACCCAAAAATGTGTATTTAATACGTAATTAATATCTTTATTGTTATCTTTTTTTTTGGTAAGTATCTTTATTGTTATCTTTAGAATGCACCATAATCCAACTCTCTAATCGATTTTTGGTTTATGGGTTTTCTTGCTTTTCGATGTAAGATTTGAACTTTTCTTGATTTGATTCTACACGGATTCAATTTATAAATATGTGTTCGTTACTTTCCTTATCCTCGTGATTCATATTACATGTTGCGGTTCTTTCGAATAAAGAAAAGTGAACCGGTT